GCTGCGCCATGACCTTCCGCACGGTCTCGCTCGCCGTGATATAATTGATGAGCGCGACGGAAATCTTCAGGCTGCACGACCCGCATTACTATCGACGTAGTTCGAGCCGGTAAAGCCGATCATGAGTGTCATGTTTGGTACTAAGCCTTCGCAAAAAGAGCCTTCACAATCCGCTGGCAAGTGAGTTTGAGTTAGGCTTTTCAGATTTCCCAGTGCCATTTCCAGTGACTTTCCTGTACCAGGAAAAACTGAGTACCACCTAGGTAAGTTTAATACCCATCCATCGCACATATCCTATTTATCGCCAGCTCAGTAGCGGTCAGTAGACGTCGCATATTGTCACTGTTGGTAACAACCGAACCGTAAAGTTAATAAAGCAGCGACTAGGTCGCTGGTATCGATCTAAAGATTCGTGGATAGACAGTTTCAACGCACAAACAACTTACCATTCTCCGCACATACCCGCTAGCAACACAATTGAGTTATGCCAGTTAAAACTACCATACGAAAATGACTAAATGCGCCGATGCATGTTTGCCAGACAACCGAAGCGCCAGCCGACTTCCGCATTACAAGTTGGCAGACTAGATCGGAGTGGTGGCATCGGGGGCCTGCGTCCGGAGTCGTCTGGCTTTGACGGACGAAATATGTCCGGACGTCGAGTTCCGACAGACAGTTGCTGGTATTATTTTCCATGGCCCACAAGACCCAATCAGTTTGAATTTATTTCCCTGCAGTCGGCTTGTCAAAAGACTGCAGTTAATAACATGAAACAATTTTCCATGCCGCACCACCCAAGCGTTCTGAAGAATACCCCCAGCCATCAGATGTCTGACATTTTCCAGACAGCATGAGAACATTCTTCTAAGAAACCACCGAAACCGCTGTGAAGATGCGTTACTTGAAGCAGCCTTCGGAAGATGAGACCGGCCCGGGACAGCGGAGGATGAGACCTACTGGCCGGGTGTTCAAGTCCGCACGATTTCGGAAGGAAACTCAGTCGGCGCGCTGAGTTCGTTGCGTTGTGCTGTTACAGATAGCGCACTTCAATTTCGGGACAGATCTCCGTACACTGCCTTTTGGAGACACATTTCCAGCTACGCAGTGGTAATAAGGTGAGCGGTCAAAAAGCGCAGGTCTGATATGTCGGAATATTGGCTCTTCCACACAAGCCGCATGCACCCACAGTTGTGGTAAGGTACCCGAACGCATGCGTGCTAACCCACACGCGATGGCGCGACGCCACCAAAGCCACCGGCGGAAGCGTACAGCAGCACGCACGACCACGCAGAGGCCCCGCTGAGCTGGGGACGGAGCGCACCTGTTGGAGGTTGATGATCTGCGGACTCGTGGCAGCGGCGGCTGTTGCAGCTGCGGTGGTCGGCCGGCCGGGAGGGCAGTGCACATCGACGGGCCCTTGTCCACCACCGAGCCGTCGGCCATGTGCTGCTGGCAGCGCAGCCAGCGGTGCTTGACGCCGCCGGCCACACGAGCGCGAACACTGCCGCAGTGGCGTCGGGCGTCACAGGCGTGACGCGGGCCGCCGCGGCTGCGGAGCCGGGTCACACGTCCGACGAGGGTCGACAGGCGGCCCAGATCGGTCCAGCATGACATCGAACTGGGGATGCCATGTCATGTGTTGTCCCCCACCGAGGCTGTCAGTCTCGCCGCGATGGCGGAGTGGACGCCCGCGGGCACCGAGCGGCAAATTCCGCGGCGCCCGCTACCATTTCAGTTTTACAATCAAAACTCCAATTCTGGGGCCAGTCGTTGACAAGACAGCCATATGACAGTGGGGGATTGTGGGGCAATGACCGTGGGGTCCACATGACCATTATCTGCTCAACGTGCAGCTCCAACACTGTTATCATTGTTAGTGGGGTCATTCCAAGTCAAATAATCAATTTCAAATACCGCCATTCCCGATTTGGATAAAATTGATACATATAGGAAACCTCATCAAAGAAAATTTGCAATATCAGGTGGCATTTGGGGCCAGACCAATGGGCCATGTAACATTCGTTTTCATAGTCTCAACAGTCTGAATCCCTCATAACGTTAAATAGGTAGGAAGACGATGAAACAGCCTTTGCGCGTTACTTTCACGTACGCTGGTGTTTTATTGTGTGACAGATACACATCAGGCTGACAAAGTCACCTTATTCGTTCTAGTGATGTTGTCTTCAGGTCGCTTTTTTAAAAAATTCGAACAAAATTTGTATATTTAGAGCACGACGGCAAGGCTTCTTGAGTAAATAAACTATTCACGAAGCTAAATTCACATACATCGCGTGAGTGACCTGTGAGATGAAGTCAAATGAGGTTGCGGGTCTTTCTTGTTACGTGTACAGCAAAGCTTGTTTAGGGTGTAGTTATATCACGACAGCATCCAAATGGTCAGTCGAGGTGGTCCGTGGCATGTAGGACATTGACCATGAAAGCCCCTGAGTGAATGATTCTGACCCTTAATGACGACGTAGGTCTTCAATATGCATTACAAATGGTAACTTGTCCGACAAAGTGGTGACGATATTTTCACATGTTTTGCCGTGTGGACTATTTGGAACAGTTGTATGGCATGCTTCAACATATACTTAACGCGTGACGCAAATTGTGCGGCGACATCAAAACTAAAGCATATGGTAGGGCGGCAAAATGTTGCATTGCTCGTTATTAGGGCAAATACATCGCTCCCAGGCCAGGCCTATGTTCTTTTAGACCCCGAAAGTCTGCCCGCGCTTCGTCTGGTGCGTGATGATGCCAGGGAACGGCTGCATCTCTTCAGGCTCAGTTCAAATAACCGACCACTCTAACCAGGGTCGGCACAAACAACCAGACCACTCTAACCAGGGTCAGCTCAAACAACCAGATCACTCTAACCAGGGTCCAGCTCAAACCACCAGACCACTCTAACCAGACATGATATGCTTCCATCTACCTAGGTCTCATTATTTTGTTGATCTCATGGGTTAGAAGAGGTTTAGAATAACCACCCTGGCACAAAAGGTTAGTTTGTCTGTCTAGGTTGCACGAAAGCTGCTGTATGGAATCAACCGCGTCAAACCTGTCAACAGTGAGAGGGAAAGATACACACGTTATACAGGCGACTGCTAATACTAAGCATTTCCAAAATCACAGGATTGCTCTCAACATATCCTGCTTTCACGTTGCACTTCCCACATGTCATATCAAGTAAAATCTGCAGAAAAATCGACCCGGGCAATAGAGGTCAAAATTGAAACCTTAGCTTCCTGAAAAGCTCAAATGTCACATCAACGCCACGATAGGAAGTTTAAGAATCCAAGAGATATTAAATGGGCATTACGCGGTGCTAAAAACAGTCACGTTACGAACCTGGCATTAAACGGTCATTAAACAGTCACGTTACGAAACAGACATTAAACGGTCATTAAAAGGTCACGTTACGAAACAAGTCTTAAAAGATGCTAAGCCGGCGTGTTCCGAAATGGGTATTAAACGGTGTTTAACTGACGAGTAATGGTATACCTCCGCAGTGTTCTGCAGGTTTGAGTCCGTAAAAGTAGTGCCAATGAGGAAATATGGGGTGGCCTCTGGCGGGGACTTCAGGTCACCTTAGGCTACAAACTGGTACGTGATCAGCTTCCATGGACCACACCGCCTCTACACGTCGCGCCCAGATGGAAAAGTGTATGGGCTAAAAGTACCTGCCATGACCGCCCGGACAATGAAAAACATTCAAGAGAACGGCACACGAAGTCAAAGCTTTGTCTTTTTTTGGCTTCGTACAACTCATGCCACTCGCCATAAAACTCTCTGAAACAAGCTCACCCTCTAACTCAACGAAATAAAACAGCAGCGACAAGTTGGACAAGACCGTTCTTCTGTTGCTATACCCAGGAATGGCATACAAATGGCAAAATCCGTTCAGCCGCATTACAGCTCACCAGTATCAATGTTAACTGTAATGCTGCCTGTGGGGCCTGGGCTGACCGGAACAGGCCAGTTAAGCAGGAAGTCAAGCACCAACACAACAAACCTGCTTTCTTCATCAGCACATACAATACGCCGACGATGGCCTGCTGCACAATACTCCCAAACAAAGCTTATGTTCCAAATAGTTTAGCTGTAGAGGCCTGACGGCCATTCGACCGAAAATCTCATCAACAACGAACTTCTCGTTGAACTTAAATCATGACTTTGAAAACCAAGCAGCGCGGGCAGGAGAGTGCTCCGGTGAGAGGCTGCCGTCCGTGTCAGCCTGCTTCCGCGTGAGCCGGTCCCCGCTCCGCCCGTCGGCCGGCGGACAGGCGCGCCGGCACATCACAGCGCCTCGCCACAACTTCTGGAGAGATTTCGGACGAGTTTGCGGTGCTGTCCGGCCCGTCATGTCCGGCGGGCGACGAGCCGTCATGACAGCCGCCAGCTCAGCGCCGGCCCGTCCGGACGGCCGAAGTCGCCAGCCCGGGCCAAGTTCGCCGTAAGTTGGTCCGTCGCAGACTGGTCGACAGAGAGGCGGGCCGACCAGACGTCCGATGGTCAGATGGAGCCTCCGCTCTGGGGGCCGCACGATGGCCCGACGGACCTCCGGTCGGCGAGACGTTCGAAGGTCAGACGGACCTCCGGTCGGCGGGACGTTCGAGGGTCAGACGGACCTCCGGTCGGCGGGACGTTCGAAGGTCAGACGGACCTCCGGTCGGCGGGACGTTCGAAGGTCAGACGGACGCGGGACATTCGAAGGTCAGACGGACCTCCGGTCGGCGGGACGTTCGAAGGTCAGACGGACCTCCGGTCGGCGGGACGTTTGCAGGTCAAATGAACCTCTGGTTGACGGAACGTCGGAAGGTAAGACGGACCCCGGTCGGCGTGGTGGCGTACACAGGACCACTCCCACACCAGTGCAGATGAAGATGCTGGCGGAGGTGGAGGAACACTGGGTGGCATGACTCACGAGGCGGAGCGCAATGAGCGGAGGCTGAGTGGACGGATTTTACCGGAGAGGGGCGGGGGAGGAGGTAAACAGGGAACACCACACTGCAGCCAGATCTGCTGCCCACGGCGGCGCACCCTTACGACGCCGTCCTAGCAAACCAAGATCGCGAGGTGACCGACCCCAGAAAGTCCGCTTCTGCTCCAGAGAGCATCGGCGCAAGTATCGGCGTGCTGCGGCCGGTTCGTTGTGCTAAGGGGCACGCGCCGACTGCGAGGACAGACGGCGACAGCCGCTATCCTGCGGACGCGACCTGTCACCGATCTCTGCAGACGGCCCACGCCGACCCGGGACCGCAGTCACGCAGCCCCCGCAATTCCAGCGCCTGACCTGCGTCCACCCGCGCACCGCCGGCCTGCTGACAGCGTCCAGGCGCCTGACCTGTCCTAAAACAGCGGCCCGGCGCCGCCGCTGAAGACGCCGCCCTGTGCTGCAGGCCACGGACATTCACTGACCTGGCTCCACTCGCCGGGCACCCAGCCCGGAGGGCAGTCGATCAGGTTGCAGAGCTGGTTGTCGGCCGGTCGCGGCGCCGGGCAGGCGGAATCCTCCACCACCAGGGTGTTCCCCTCGCCCCGCGCCAGCTCGTGGACGCAGTGCACCTCGCGGTTCTGGAGTCCTGAGGACGCGGCACGGCCTGTCACGCCCCTGCCCCGTTGATCCAGGGAGTCGTGGTAAGGCAAGGACCAGCGAGCAGACGTCAAGAGAAGTCCGCTCAGCATCCGACACGCAGCTTGTAACCGTTAGCAGCACAAGCACGGAAGCCAACAGCTTCACCATTTCAGCATTCGTCACATCATAGTTCTGCCATATCAGACCGACCCCGCTGCAACTCCGTCACGGAGGACACGCTAGGCCATATATCGGCCGAGTCAGCCTCCACCACGCCGTAACTACGCCATGTCAGGCTCCACCACGCCATAACTACGCCATGTCAGATTTCGCCGCCGCACGCTTGCCGCACCACGAATGGGTCGGGCCGGCCCGTTATTTGATGACATTGTTATGAGCGTCGTAGCGGGCGGTGCCGGCGCCGCAGCCCGCTCCGGCCTGCCGTCGGCTCGGCCCCACACGCCGGGGAGCGAGGCCGACGCTGGCGGACGGCACTGCTCCCCACCCTGGTGTTGTCTAGACGGGGCGGCGGGGCGGTTACAGTGGAAGAAGTGTTGTGCGGTGTTCGGCGCTGGGGTGGTGTTAAAGATCACTTCTAAGCGGCCATCAGGATATGGCTAATAGATGGCGGGGCCGTAAACGCCACATCCATGACAACAGCGGTGTCCGAGCGCCGAAGCTTATGTTAGCGTTGCTAAGTGACAACAGCACAGTAATGTTTGCACAGACTATGCCGTTGGTATGGATCGCAACCAAGATAATAAACAGGGGCTTGCGATAGGGCAACAGTGGTACCAGATAACTTCCTGGCCAGCACCTAAAACAGACCGGCAACAACATGTGCGCCCTGGAATAAAAAAGCGTCAACAGTCCCCTATGGCCATATCAGCTCTGCATCCGACGTGTTTAAGACAACAGGCTCACCAAACGCAACGAAAGCTATAAAAAGACAATACATCGATATGTATTGATCCATCCAATACAGTAGAACCCAAACAGTTTTTTTGCGTTGCTATGCTTACGTCACGCAACGTATCACGTGACACTAACAGCGTCATTGGGACAGAGTGCATTCAGTGGGGGAGCATTGGTCCCCCAACCTCTGCAAAAACCCGACCGGGCAGACGTTTGGACCCTCACCAACATTCAGTGGCTGACCATTGGTCCCCAACCCCTGCAAAAGCCCGACCGGGCAGGCGTTAAGACCCTCACCAACATTCAGCGGGTGAGCAGTGGTCCCCGAACACCTGCAAAAGCCCGACCGGGCAGGCGTCAAGACCCCCACCAACACGGCGCGTAGCGCACACGCTCAGGGCACGTTTGGGAGCCTGACTGTGGCCGTGAGCCGATCACCCCCGTGTGTCGGATGGGGCTGCGTAGCCACTGGTCTGGCCAGGCCTGAGCGGTCCGACGTCATGCTCAGGTCGGGAGCTCAAGCGAGCCCACACGAACCCGTGGCCGGCGCGGACCACACGCCGCCAGAGGCCGTCGCCAGCCGGGTCAGCGCGCCGGTGGTTACGTGCCTCACACGCGCCTTCAGGCAGACGAGAGGCGAAACGCCGACGGAAATGGCCGTTTCCGGCGCCGGGCCCGCTCCGGGAATGGTCCCGTGGGCCTCCCGGCGCGGGCGGGTATGACCTCTCGCCGCCTCCGGGGCCGTTCCGTGGGTCGGGCAACCGTTGCTCAGGGGGGGGGGGGAGGGGAAACTGACCGTGCGTGACCCCAGACGATTGGAGCTCGCCAGCGGCTGTACGGGCGTCGCGGCGGCGCAGATTATTGCGACAAACTTGTCGGCAATCTATCATCTCATGAGCGATGGGCCCGTTGGGCAAGGGCGGCGGGCGGAGGAGAGTGGGGGAGCAGCCGCGGGACTTCCGTGACGCTGGCACATCCGCCCTGGATGAAGGCCCGCTGGCTCACCCCGCGCCCCGGCCATGCGTCCGCCGGCAGCACACGGCCTCTGAGGCCGCCAGGTGCGGCGGCCCGCCCGGGCTGGACCGGCACCGCACAGGACGGCGGCCGGCCTCGCCGCCGGCCGCCGCCGAGGTCGCCGCCCAGTCCAGCGCGGCGTCGGACTTGTTAGATCGAGTGCAGCATAGCCGCCAGCTGTGAGCATCGAGCCGGAGTGGGACGCGTGCGTCGGCAGCGAGTGTGTGCCAAACCGCCAGCAGCGGAATGACGGTGCGCGAGAGCGGGGACGAAGTGCATTCGCGCTGTGAGCAGAGCCTGTCCCCTCCAAAGTCCTGCGCTGGCGGCGGGGTCGTCATTCTGCGGCCTTGAACTCTCGTGGGAGCAGCGCCGGCGTGCAGCGTGGCTGATGCCGACGTTAGTGTGGTGGGCACGGCGTGCAGGCAGGTGTTCACCCCGTGGCGGTGCTGTGTGCACGTGATTTCATCTGTTGATCCCACGCGAGTAGACGGCCGAAAGGACGCCTCAGGAAGGTGACGTGTGCGGTTACGGTGACGCGGCGGCCGTGGGCAGGGACTGACCACGGTGCGGATGTCGGCGTGCCAGGCGAAGGCCACGACTAAACAGACGTGGTGGACCAGGCAGAGAGCGGCGGTGCGCGGCCGCTGCGACGACCGCCGCGGTCACAGGGAGCCACGGCACATCCCGCACAGCACTCCGCCCCGTACGCCACAGGGAACCGCGGCAGGCCCACACAGCAGTCCGCCAAGTACGCCACAAGGAGATGCAGCAGACCCACACAGCACTCCGCCCCGTACGCCACAGGGAGCCGCGGCAGGCCCACACAGCACTCTGACCCGTACGCCACAGGGAGCCGCGGTGGACCCACACAGCACTCTGCCCCGTACGCCACAGGGAGCCGCGGTAGACCCACACAGCACTCTGACCCGCACGCCACAGGGAGCCGCGGTAGACCCACACAGCACTCTGCCCCGTACGCCACAGGGAGCCGCGGTAGACCCACACGGCACTCTGCCCCGTACGCCACAGGGAGCCGCGGTAGACCCACACAGCACTCCACTCCGTGCGCCGCAGGGAGCCGCGGTAGACCCACACAGCACTCCACTCCGTGCGCCGCAGGGAGCCGGCTTGCTGATACATTAGACTGCAAAGCGGAGCCCGACGGAGCTGAGTTCGTCCCGCGCAGCATTTCAATATCGCCGTAGAAGGGATTTTCAGATGGACGCAGTCATTGAATCTTGATGGAATTTTGCTTGAACGATAACAACAGGTGCACTGCCACCAGACCCCCTCGGGAGACAAGTAAGAGCTCCCATCATCCCCTGAATTACCACAGAGCCATTGACGTATTTGTGCTTCTCAGTTGAGGAATACTGGAGATACGATTGTGATGCTTAAACGCATAATATCATACTCGCTTATCGCTGTCTGCACTGCTAAAACGTACCTTTAAGAAGGACTCCGGTCAAACACTGTTCGTTTTCTGTTGTGCGACTTTATGAACAAAACATTTTGGTCACCAAAAGACCCTTTGGACAACGCATTTAAAGTTGCCATGCAACTGGCTTACTAGCGATATCTAAGATCGACCCAGACATCTGCTCGTTTATAATAATCATATCACGAAAACTACTTTGGCGGGGCGATGCGCTGCAACTAAATTCTCTGAATTGCCAATCGTCTCGCTTCCTCCTCTCAAATTTCTGACCAGGGGATTAAATGCCGGCAAAATTTCGCTTCATGCAGTTATTGAAGATCAGATATTTTTTAATAATTCACCAAATAAGAGTGCAATTTCCATCGAAGTGTCCTCGACATTTTACGATTAAATAATACCTAAAGCAGTCAAGCACACTTAAACCTCGGGGTTCTCGCATAAAACAACAATAAAAATCCGGCAACGCTGGAGCATCCTCTGCAAAATTCCTCGAAGCCTTATGGCGGCCGAAAATCCTGTCATTCGGCATCGGCCCGGCGCTACGCGGCGTTCCGGGCCAAACACCATCGGCTGGGGTTGGCTTAACGCCATCACACAGACGCACCCATTAAGACCGAACTAACTGCAGGACATCACGCAGCAAGGCACGATAAGGGAGAAGTGGGGGGGGGGGGGGGGGGGGGGGGGGGGCGTCACGTCTGTGGCCGGGCTCGCGCCATCCGAACATCGCCATCGGCACGGCTGTCACGCTCAGCGCCGAGAGGGCACTTCATCCCCGCCTTGTCAGGCACCCTTGTCGATATCAGCGTCGGGAGCGGTCGCCTCGGTGGTGGAAGGGGGGGGGGGGGGGGCTGAGGGTGCGAGATAGGTGTGATCGTCGCTTAGGCACATTGCACAACTTACGACAGGGCCAAATAAAATGGCTTTGTGGTTTGTCCCAAAAGACCACGGCGAAAGATATGCTTCCTGGTAGCACATTCCAGTTACCAGATATAAAGCATAATATGCCTTCTCTTGTCATAAGTGGAGCTGTCCCACAAGCGTTGGCCATTTCCGAGTAGAAAATGCAACGCTGCAGTCGTGTCTTCCAGCGATAACACAAGACACGTGCACTGAGCGGACTTTGCCACCAATGTCCCACCAGTATAGGGTACTTTTGCCACCACTGCCCCACCAGCGTCACCACTGCCACCAGTGCCCCATCACCACTGCCCCACCAGCGTCAGCTACCTTTGCCACCAATGTCCCACCAGTATGGGCTGCTTTTGCCACCACTGCCCCACTAGCGTCAGCTACCTTTGCCGCACGGTCGTGAGCAGGCCGAGAATTCGGTGATGTTCCAGCGCGGAGGACACGGCACGTCGTTACACGTGCGCGTGATGCTGTCCGGTCGCGTGTCCAGTGGACACAGGAACGGGCTGGCCTCCTTGCCGTCGGACACGCTCACGCACTGCACCAGCGACTCCTGTACGCCGCCTGCGGACAACGGACAGCGGCGGACAGTCAGGCGGACAGCCTGCTGGGCGGGACAGACGGCCAAGTGGACGGGAACGAATAGCGGAGGCAGTCAGGCATACAACGGCAGACAGTGGCGGACTGTTCGCACGCGCAAAGTTCGCGCCCCACGTGAAACGCCACCGCCGACAGTTTCGGCAGGCGAGCGGCGGCCGTCCATTCTGGCCGCTTGACGAGCCTGTGTACCGCACAGCCGTCAGATGAGAGGCATTACACGAGCCCGGCTGCCCGGGCGCGACCTGCACTCTCCGCCAGCAAAACAAGCACGTTCCGGCGGCGGCCGGTGGGTGCGCCGCACGAGAGCCGCCGAGCCGTGCCGTGCCCAGCGAGCGGCGCTACGCACCCAGACAGGAGGAGCTGCAGGGCGTGAAGCCGACCTTCTTCCAGACGTGCTGCGGCATGGACGGCGGCAGCGGCGCCGGCTCGGGAGGCCGGATGACCACCACGGCCGCTCACGGCGTCGGCCCTGGCGCCGCCCCTGCGTGCACCGCCGCCCAGCAGCTCGAACGAACCCACCACATCCTGGTAGTTACGGCCGCCGCTCAGCACGTGCGAGCGCAGCCGGTGGATGCCGTCCTGGTGGCGTGCCGTCGGTCCGGACAGTCGGCGCTCGGTGGGCGGCATGTCGCCCGGGCCCGCCTCCGGGCTGGCGAACTCGTCCCCGGCTCGTCCGCCGCCCAGCGGCTCGAACTCGGCGCTGGCGTCCTCGCGCTCGTCGTCGTCGGCATCGGCGTCGTGCAGCGTCAGCTCAGGGCTGGAGAAGGCGTCGTCGTCGGCATCAGCGTCCTGCAGCGTCAGCTCGGGGCTGGAGAACGGCACCCGGTCCGGCGGGTCGTTGACGTCGTACAGCATGTCGTAGGTGTGCCTGGGCGTCTTGTCGTCGTAGGTGTGTCTGGGCGCCTTGTCTTCGTAGGTGTGCCTGGGAGTCTTGTCGCTGCTCTCCGAGTGAGATTGTCGATACGGCTGGTGGAAGCTGGCGTCGGAGGCTGACGACAGCCCACCCAGCATGCTGCTGCCGGCACGTGTCAGAAGGATCAGTCACAAAAAACTGCATACAGAAAGGAAATTGATTCGCGCATTCACTCAAAGCGATTAGCTGCGAATGTGGCATGTGACAATAATCCATTCTGACAGTGCCGCACAGCTCACGCCTCTCCGACCCGTGGAGCATTGACTTTGAGCCGACCACAGCACATAACTAAAATCTTTGCGTTTTACAGAAGACCCCTTCCAGCAACCCACACAAAGCCACGCGCCCTCCATTCACAGTCCGGTCTCAGCCCCCCCCCCCCCCCCGCAAAGACGGACGCATGAGTCCCGACGCCGTGCCGTGGGACCGACGCGACACCGCCCAGCCCACCTGTGCCGCGGGCAGGCGGGCAGGATGCAGCGCTCCAGGTCGGCCGGAGCCTGTCGGCCGCACTCCCTGCTGGGCAGCCGCACCAGCGTCTGCGAGAACTCCAGGTAGACCATGCACTCGACCTTGCGCCGCCGGAGTCCCTCGCCGCACGTCACGGAGCACTCGCTCCAGCTGTCCGCCACGAACCTGCGGCGCAGGCGGCGCCGGTCACCGAACACTCCTGGCCTCCTGATGAAGCTCAGAGTCCAAGGTGGGTACAGTTACCGCTGGTCTTCGGTCGGAGCTCAGAGTCCGAGGTAGTCCGAGGTGCAATGGAACTCAGAGTCAGTCTGAGGTAGTCCGAGGTGCTCCTGGGCTCCCAATGGAACTCAGAGTCAGTCTGAGGTAGTCCTGGCCTCCTGACGGAGCTCAGAGGCGAAGGTAGCTTCAGGTACTCCTGGCCTCCTGACAGAACCCAGGGTCAGAGATAGGCAGGGGTACTACTGGTCTTCGGTTTGAGCTCAGAGTCGGAGGTAGGCAAATCTACTGTTGGTCCTTGGTCTGAACTCAGAGTCAGAGGTAGGCAGAGGTGCTGCTGGCCTCCTGACCGAACTCAGAGTCAGAGGCAGAAAGAGATGCTCCCCGTCTTCGGTCTGAGCTCAGAGTCAGAGGTAGACAGAGGTCCTGCCTGCCTTGGGTTGGGTTCAGAGTCGGAGGTAGGCAGAGGTACTATTGGTCTCCAACCGTAACCCAGACTACACTCTTTGCATTGAATGCAGATGGAGTCAGTCACAGGTCAGGCCTGGCCACACGTGCGGATTGAGTCGGTTAGGGATAGTCAGAGGACACCCCTGGCCACACGTGCGGATTGAGTCGGTTAGGGGCAGTCAGAGGACACCCCTGGCCACACGTGCGGATTGGGCCGGTTAGGGATAGTCCGAGGACACCCCTGGCCACACGTGCGGATTGGGCCGGCTAGGGATAGTCAGAAGACAACCCAGACATGCATGCTGGTTGAGTCGGTCCAGATCGAGCCTCATTTGTCAGAGTCAGTTAACGACGAACGAAACAAACGCAGTCCGTGAATATTTCATGTGTGTGGAATGAGGCCGCAGAAAGAACAACTGCCCCCCTGGGACGCTTTTATTTTTGGACATCTTGGAACGCTAAGCCCCACTTTCAAGAGCTTGAGAGGATTACGTCTTTAAGGCTCGGGACATGACATCACTATCAGTTCTACGCCACATAGGTGAAGACTAGCTGAGTTATAATGTCCATTGCTTAAGTTTTCTTATGCCACGTATGATATTAAGCGTGGTCACAAACGACCATGGCCGAATCGCCCACGTTCCACAAAGCTTCTTAGAACGAAACTATTTCCGCGAGCCACGCAGGAAATGTGCACGCCAAGTCTGACCAATGTGCCCGTCACGCCGAACGGAAGGCGCTCGCGCCGCCGTGGCGCTCCATAGCGGAGGGCGCCAGCGCCGACATGGCGCTCCATGGCGGAGGGCACCAGCGCCGCCATGGCACTCCATGGCGGAGGGCGCTCGCGCCGCTGTGGCGCTCCATGGTTGCATGAGCACGGCCTATACACGGTCACAATAGCCGTCTTGCCGACAACTCGTTATGCTTAATTATCCGCGCATAATGAGTCACCGTCTAGAACTGAATAATTAAAGGCGGTAGCCAGCTTTACGCGCTGGCAAGCGAAATACACTGTGTCGGCAGAGCTTCAAGTAGTCCACGTTGAGAATACTTGCCACACACAGTCACCCATAGCCGCGCATACTCCTGAAGCTGCTGTATATACCACACCTATTTGTCATTCTTTGCTCAGTGGAAAGCACCAGTGTTCAAAAAGAGCACGCCGGACAAGCCGGCAGCCACGTTTAAACTTGTTCAGCGAGTGCTCTTCGCCATATGACCATTTTCGAATAGGTTCAGGTCAGAATTGGCTGGTGACAATTTGGTACCACTGTTGTTTGCGCTGTACAATTCCATGAAAACTCCGTCGGACAATGTAGCCCCTCGCAACTGTACCACCGGTCTGTCCGCCGGTCTGTGCACCCCTCCGAGCGTAGAATCTCCCGATGTCCACCAGCATGTGCACCTCTCCGAGCGTAGTGTCTCCTGATGTCCGCTGGCCTGTCACCCCTACGAGCGTAGCGTCTCCCGATGTCCACCAGCCTGCGCACCCCTCCGAGCGAAGCGTCTCTCGATGTCCACCAGCCTGTGCACCTCTCCGAGCGTAGCGTCTCCCGATGTCCGCGCGCCTGTGCACCCCTCCGAGCTCCTCCCGATGTCCGCCGGCCTGTGCACCCCTTCGAGTCTCTCCCGATGTCCGCCGGCCGGGCTTGGGCCGGTGGGAGGCACGGCCAGGGACGGCAGCCGCTGCCGGCGCCACCGCCAGCCCGTCCCCGCCAATTACAGGCGCCGTGCGTCATTACGGAGAAAACGGCCGGACACGACTATCAGGGCCGGGCGACGGAGGACGGAGCCGCACGGCGGGTCTGATTAGAGCCAGGCAGCGGAGGACGGAGCCGCACGGCGGGCCTGATCAGAGCTGGATGGTGGAGGACGGAGCCGCGCGGCGGGCCTGATCAGGGCCAGGCGACGGAGGACGGAGCCGCACGGCGGGCCTGATCAGGGCCAGGCGACGGAGGACGGAGCCGCACGGCGGGCCTGATCAGGGCCAGGCAGCGGAGGACGGAGCCGCACGGCGGGCCTGATCAGGGCCAGGCAGCGGAGGACGGAGCCGCACGGCGGACCTGATCAGGGCCAGGCGACGGAGGACGGAGCCGCACGGCGGGCCTGATCGCCTCCTTGTGGCACCGGTGGATGCGGGGAAGGCACGCTCCGCAGCATCACGCGCCCGGGAGGGGTTCGTTTACAGTGGGGGCGTGACGATGTGGTTGGCGCCATGTGGTGTCACCGCCGCTGATTTCGAGCCCGCGCGGTGGGAATAAGCCCACGTGGTACAGTGCCGTGAGCCGCCAACGTCTGATACTCCCGACAGCACGCGACGGCGCTTTCGCCACCAGACAGCAGCGACGGCCCAGAAAATGACGTTCTCTTCAAACGAATCCACCGGCCGACGATATGTGTGCGTGCAGGCAAGCCAAGGCGGAGCCGCCGTCAAATGCTATCGGATCAAGCCGCGCCAGAGAGTCCTCATAAATTAGCCTTATATGACACTCGTTTCATTAGCCGGCACTGGCGAGTGGTGGTATCAGCTCTCTACAAAGCGCGCTCTAGTTAATGGGAATGATCCTGGTACATTTAGCGCGCACCAGGACACGAAGAAAAACCCCGCGTGGGGAATCACACATGCGTAGAACTGCTGGAGATGACGACAGGCGCGTCGCACATCACGCTTCAAAAGACAATCGCATTGTCCGTCAGACGTGTGCTCAGTGACTGTGTGATCCGGCAGACGTCGAGCACGGCGGCGGCGCGGCTCGTCGGGGTGTCGGAGCCCCCCCCCCCCTCCCTCCCCCAGCGCGGCAGCCAGCCGGCGTCAGCGGCCCCGACCACTATACTGAGCAGCAACGCGCCGGGACCGCCGCCGCCGCTGACCGGGAAGCGGCGGCGGCGGCGGCCAGAGGGGAAGCCATGGCATGGGGAAGGCTCTGCAGCTGGACAGGCTGGGCAATGACAGGTCTGAGCTGCATGGAGTGACGCGCTGCATGTTCAGACTACGAGTTTTTTACGAGGTGCGGAGGGGGGGGGGGGGGGGAGCACGCGGCTTACACGGCGCACGTCAAACCATGCCCTTAGTTTAAAGCGCCAGTGACTGAGGCGGTCCTGACAGCACCCAGGGACCATCGTGCGACCAAAATTTGAACCGCTTACTCCCTCACCTCCTCCAAAATTATGCCCAGCGCTCGCGCAGTTGCGTTCAAGAGTGAGCTTTCTACCGACGCGCTTCGCTGTTCCGACGCCTTCGCACGCTCGAACGAACTCGAAGCGTGCGAGCCGGGAGACTACGCCTGGAGTCAGCTCCCGGTACCGCCGCCGGAAGGGGATCCATACACTCCCCAGGGATCAGAGCCCTGGCTTGAACCCCTGTCAAGTATGTGTAGCACGATGTGGTCACACCAGTCACAGCGGAGGTCGCGTGGTCACACCGGTCCCAGCGCTGGCCACGTGGTCACACCGGT